AATGAGTATATTCAGATGTGATCTCACCAAGTAATCGAGAGAATAATAAGTGAAAAATTAGGTAGTGTTTCAGTTATAGACAAGTAGTCCATCATGCATTGCAAATCATTCAGCGGATAGGTCAATCGCCAAAATAAGAAATTGCTTTATTTGTAAACAATAATACATGACCGTATAAGGAAATTAAGTTAAATGAATCTGTCCTGTTGATTTGAAAAACGAATGGACGATCACAGCGATTTAATTTAGAAGTGTACTTTTTTTTTAATTTGTGTTTCAGTATCTATCCGTGAATTAAATGTGTTCACAATACTTTTAATCCTAGAATACTAAACGAGTGCACCCAGTTTAAAAGTTATTATTACACTGTTACTGTTACATAATAACCTGTACATTATCTCGTGTTACAGTTGACCAGTTTAGTCTTGTGCACATGATTTATTATTCCAAAACAGATGTATTGTGAACATATCATTAAATTCATGGATATATATTGAAACACAGAAACCGAAAAAGAAGTGAGTACAATTTCAAATTGTAAGGGGGCGACCATTCCTGATTCAGTTAAAATAAGGGAGGGGTGGCTATGCAAGAGGCTTTTGAAATCTGCATGAATAGAATTGAAAATAAACATTTATGCAGAATTGTCTCAAATATGCGTCCTCAAATCACAAAATAAATAGATGACTAAGACCAAATTCATTGAAATTACCTGCTTAATTATTAGTAAAAGAATATGGATCCCGTAACTGTTGTTATACGTGTTCAGGTATAACAAAATCTAACATAACTACATGTTTCAATGTTTCCATAAAAGCTACTCTGACTCCAACAACGTAAAGACCGGTCCCGGGTTCTTATTACCAACAAAAATACTCTTAGTATGAAAGTTGATCGTAGGTAACTCTACATCAACTCGTACGAATAAATGTTTTTTTTTATTTTTTTATGGAGCCACAGAACGTTTGTACAAAAAAAAACATAACTTTTTTTCTCGATTACTTGGTGAAATCACCTATGAATATACTCATTCTGTCAAAAGTAGGAAATTTTTTACTGTGAGTATATAGATATATTCAAAACAAATTCCTAAAAACCTTTATTTCATGAATGGACATGTGTAAAGATAGTAATTATGTATATCACCATTGAGAGGCCCTGACATACTGTAATTGCGTGAATTCTTTGTTGTCGACAGCCAGTGAAACACACGATGACATTTAATTACTATATGTCCATGTCCACGCTGTTATGAAATTCATTCTTTTTGTTTTATTTGTCAAATAATATAGAAAAAAATAAGAAGATGTGGTATTATTGTCAAGAGACAACTATCAACCAGTTACCAATTGACGTAAATGTTAGCAACCAAAAGTCACCGTACGACCTTCAACAATGAGCTAAACCCACTCATACCTCAATGCAAGCCTGAAAAGGGCCAGGCATAACAAACTGTAAAACAATTAAATTCAAACGAAAAAAACTAACATCCGTATTAAAGTACAAAACAATAAACGTTAAACAAATATAATATACAGCAACAAACGACACCCACTGAATTGCAGACTCCTGCCTTTGCACAGGTACACACAGAATGTAGCGGGGTTAGACTTGATAGCAAATTGAATACTATTTACTTTTACCTTTCAAAAGTGGTAAGGATTGAAAAGAATTTCCGTCCAGGGCCATTTCCAATACGAATTTTTATCTTCACTAATATACACAGCTTTTTTGATAGTGTTTTGTAATTTATAATTGTTATTTATTGTATGGTGCTATTTTGCTATTTTGCTATGATACGACCGAATTAAGACGACCCTCTATAGAAAAGGGATGTAATTCCATGAAATATTCTGGCAAAAGCATGGATGTTATTACTGTGAAACAATTAGTCGTAATTACCTAAGATCTTCAACATGTTTGAAAATCAAGGTCATCACGACCTTCCACATTAGACGTGTTGTGTAAATTTGTTAAAAACTGTAAAAGATAAATATGAAATAGAATTTGGACATCAAGCACCAACTGTATTATGTTAATAGGGAACATCTACGACGAAGATAACCCTACTCAGGGTTCTAAAAATGTCATAAAGGCCCCTGAAGGGCAGTCTTCATCATTGGACTATTTGACATGTGACATTGAAAACATTCAATACTAGACTTGGTGTATGTATACGAATAACGTTTAAAAAATATGACATATTTAAAAAAACAAATATGGGTCGAACTACATCCATCATTTGTCAACCCCCTCCCCATACTTTTTGTAAAGATCAGTTGTGTCGGAATTTTGAATGTCGTTGACTCAGTGAGATTGTGCTGAAGAGATTACATTCATAAATACAATAATACTGACATTTCTCTCTTAAAGGATGATAAATGTTTAGCTTATTTCAAATTTAATCTTAAAAGCGACAGGAAACAGAAAAGAAACAGAAAACTGCAATAAAAATGCTTACGGAATTCTGCTTTTTTCTCTCCTCAGAATGTTTTATTTGTTTCATATTTTACCAAACAAAGTTTGTGTTTTTGTAGTATTACTTGGTAAAATGCAAATAACTCGCGATAAGTTTATAAGAGTTTTGCTAATTAAATGTCTAGTTGTTGTGAGGTGATGTATATAGTTAAAACCTGTATGTCATAACTTCCAGGTTAAAAAAGTACCATACGTTATAGATAATGCATATTATACACGAGGGGTATCCGGATTGATCAAATGAATGACCGGCTGTAAGGAGGCTTTAATACACCCTAGGTCTCATTTATAGTGTAATATAAAACTCAATCATTATTGTAGATATAAACTTTAGAAATCCTTATCCAGTTACACTATTAATATTACTGTAACTGCAAGAAACAAGACATAAATGAATTGTTACGATGTATGAAATATACAAGTCACTTTGGAAGTAATTGGTTGCATCAACTTTATGAAAGGGGAATGCTATGTTTAATTTTCTCTTTTTTTTCATGACATTTTTATCGCTGAAAAGCAAGTTATTTTTGCATCAATTTTTAACGAACTATATAAAATAATGTGTTTTCTCTCTTTTGTCTGGCATTACATTTTTTCAAACTGAGAATCAGGATTAAAGATTTTAGTCCCCCCCCCTTTCCCCAACCACTTAACCTATCATTAAGTACGTGGCTGTTATTCTAAAGAAATAAGAAAGTTTGGTCATTTGGTCTTTTGATAGTATAATAATTATGTATAGATAAAAAATGATAAGAACTGGCACGAAGAGAGCACGAAATCGTGATACATGTACATGTAACACAAAAAAAACGAATATCCATTGGTCAATGTATGATTTCCAATACATTGTGAATCACTAAGATTAGAGGCGGGATTAAGGGGGATGCTTATTCAGCTTCATATATGATTAATGCAAAGATGTTTTACTAGTATAAAACAAACGTTGGATTGCTAGGGGCGCCCCTTTTTCAATCCTGAATCCACACCTGAAGATTTTCAAAATCCTACACACGAATATGATAATTCCGGCTTTTGTCTGCTCTTTGGTCGGGTTGTTGTCTCTTTGACATATTCCCCATTTCCATTCTCAATTTTATTGTTTAAAAGTGTTATGGAATGTTTTGCATTATTAAATTCATCTCACATAATGTCCCTTTATTGTAGCGATAAATTAACAAAACTTCTCGTTATTGTTTCGAAAGTTAAAATGTGTGTCAACGACGACTTTAGGTATTTCAGTCTAATAAACGGGGACAAGGATTGTTTCTGTCTAACACCTATAAAAAAGTAAAATTACAAAATAAAACTACATTTGGCAACAACACACGATAACTATCAAATGAATTAAATATTTAATTAAATTATTGTTCGCATTTTAATCAAGGAAAATAATGACCTTACACAGAAAAAAAAAATAACTCTGTATAGGCAAATAAAATCAAATATTTTTTAGACCAAGAAGTAATATACTTTCACACCTGTAGCCACGTAAGGTTGTACATACCCCTTCTAAAAGAATTTAACATTTAAGTCGATATTTTTATTGAACTGAAACTAATTTTTTTATGGTTTTATTTATAATATTTGCATGGTTAATTAGGTTTTCATCTTCTAATCGGTAACCGTTTCGCTAATTACCGTACCTGGCAAATGTCTCTTCCGTACTCTTCATGTCATGCCATTCGAATGCACATTCTTTAAATATAATAGATTTGTTGTAAAGCTGTCTATAAAAAACACCATGTTTAATATCAATCTATTGGCAAGCATTGTGACAAGAGGATATCACATTTGAACCTTAATTCTATAACCGGATAGAGATAATACAACACAGTTCAATGTATTTCACCTTCGAGGGTAAATATATAAATATAAGTGGTAGACGGAGATCATGCAACATATAATATGAATGGATATAGATGGACTCATACACTTTATGTCAAGCTTTAAATCACAAAGAAACAGACTTTCAAAAGTTGTCTGTCATCCCATAAATCATCAACTGTAAAAGAATATCAATATATTAGATAGATAAGCATTGACCAATTTGCTTGTATAGGATAATAACCACCGAAGAGTATCACCGGAAAGGACTTTATTCTACAATATAAGTACAACAACAAAACCAAAAAACCACTTGAACAAACAATAATACACACTACCAGACTTAAGAAAAATTTATCATCATGTACTTAATTTAATCGCAAAGTTCTTAACCAGCCGATATAAAATCATGCAACCCTTTGATATCTGCGATTGATTACATTTCAAACATCAATGGTCATTAGAAGTACAGGAAGGCATAAGCTCGAACATTTTGTTTGTCAACTGTTTTTAGAGAAATCACCGAAAAAACTTCACCCAAATCCTTCGAAGATCGTCAAAAATCCGCTTTAATTTCAGTTGAGAGTTACATATATTTTGGCGCAATAATTATGCATACTTAACAAACCTACAAATTACTAATTTTGATCAATTTAAAAAAGCTTCATATAGTATCAAATTGGATACATTTTTTACAGATGCTTATCGGATGGATGGATTTAAATTATATGTAACCAATACATCAACCATTCCACCTGACGGTTATCTCTGTTATGAAGATCCCAATCATTTTCGACCTCCTTATCCAGACATCCATCAGACAATTCCTTGTAATCAACTTGGAAAATATGTCATTTATTACGATGATAAAGGATCTGATGAAGTAAATGTGATCTATGAACCTATTGTTGAGTTATGCTACGTTGCCATCAATGGTGAATTATTTGGTTTTTTTTCACATAGTAATTTGGTTGCATAAAAAAGGAGATAATTGCCTTTGAGACGAATATATATAGATGAGAGTACACATATTTGAATAATAACAGGTCACTAAACGGCCTTCAATAATCAGCAAAACCTAAACATAACCATAGAGCAAGCTATCAAAATCTAGTATGACAATATGTGAATCAATTGAAAATAGAAAACGTAAGGTTGGATTAATGCCATTAAATTATATGTCTACTTCATTTGTTTTTATTCTTCAAGTGTACTAGGTTTCAAATTCAGAATATTTGATCTAGCGTTGCTACCAATGATAATTGATGTAGAGACATAACTTTTATGTCAATTATACCGTAACTAAACACACAAATAATTCATCAAAGACAACTGAATGGCAACGTATTACAGAACAGATTCTTATGACAATATATGATGAACTATAATCGAAATAGTTATAAAAATGAAAACTTTAAAAGTCAATGTTTGATACATGGAAATAAACAGCAAGCTACAAATTCTATTGAATGAACATCTTTTGTCAATGAATGAATTTAAAGCCACACCGAAACACCACAAGGTTGCAGCTAAGGATAATATTACTTTTTTACACAATAATTCATATTAGATCTCTATCCATTAGAAGTAAATTTTATAAAGCAATTTCATTTCTTCCAAGGAGTGTAGGGGATCTCAAATGGTTCAATCGTGTTGAAAGTGGTATTGTGACCTATAGTTGCGGCAATCATTCCTCATCTCCATATTGTTAGATTAATATTAAATATTGTGAAAATAGTTATGTTAAATCCTATACTGATTAGTCATGGAGTGTCTACATATTCTGGATGTTTAAGATATGCTGGTTTAACTGGACATCAATTTGAGTCCTTTGGCAGTTATGATTTATCTAATAATTTCCCTATTTGATTAAAATGTGTTCGATTAACTTGGTTCTTACTGTTTCAAACGTTGTCGTTATATTTTCATTTACAGTAAGAACATACATGCTCTAAATTGACATGCAATCGAATCATATTATTATTGATGTTTTGGGAGGCGGCTTTCTTGATATAGAACTTGCGCCCAGAATCAAATGAATCATGATTTTAGACAGTATTTGTATGACTCATAATATATATTTTCGTTCTGAAGAAAATGAAAAAACAAATCTTCCAGTAATGATTGGTTATCCGACGGGTTATATTGCAAATTGATTTTTGTTTTTACTTCTATGAAGCACAGTTTATTACTAACCTTTAAAAGAACAGGAAGATCAACAGTTTTGCTAGACGTAATACATACTTATAATCCATATCTTGATACATATACAAAAGGCTGTTAATAAATTCATCTCATTCTTAATTTTGAGGTGATCATATGACTTTTTAGACCCTAATATTAAAGTTGACATGGTAAATTTCACTCCAAAAGCTATGACAAGTTTCCCTGTTTAAATGAACATGTTTATTTACTTGATTTGGGTTATCAGCTGGCTCTTCCTTATTAAATGAAAATTCGCCAGTATGTTACAAGAAGTAACGTCTATGATTTAAATAAACATATTGATGTTATTACTTAGAAAAATGTTTGCAAGGATTACGGTATTGTAAATTGGTAAACACTTTACTACATTTTATCACAAATATAAAAAGGTCCTAACAATGAATGTCCTATTGCACGTGCTACAGGAACTTATAAGGAGTGTTTTTACACACCCAGCACATTACAGTATTACTATGTATAAGGCGAAAGAGTTTAGAAGTCATTCACATTATCTTTTTCATAAATGTAATATACATATTGACAATTGACTGTCTTTTTAGCAATCACAACCAAAAAGCCTTGTTGTCACTTTCAAAATTTTCTATCAAAAGCTTGGTCAAAGAAAACTGGGTCAAAGTCATCTGTTGTCATTTTTATCTAATCCAACTCTTGGTCAAAGAAAAGGTTTGGGTTCAATGTTTACAAACCGAAAAATGAATCGAATACACTTTTCACAAAATGAAAACATTGCGCTTCCACTGTTACTCATTGCAAGAAACATTTCGATCGTTACTCGCATCTGGTAAAAAATGAAAACACCACGTTATGAATGTAATGCGTCCGAAGCGCTTTTCTGTTTCATCAAGAGGAACGCTCAAAGCCAAATATTTGAAAGCCAAGGATGTAAAAGAACCGAAACTGTTGGAGAGCTATATAACCAAATAGGATTTAAAAAACAAAAACGGTAATTTGACAATCAAGAGATTTGAATTATAATTATAGTTACGACAAGGGGAACACGTCCTACCTCATCTGTGACAAAGGAAAGTTCAACCTAATCATGATGGAGTTCGTAAAACCTTCTGATGGATGACTTCGTTATCACAGTACTGGCCTTGAAATGCCTGTGAAGTCGAATTTTTACCCTATCGTAATCCTTGCTGCAGTGCTGCGTTTTTTTTTTCCATTGTCTAAAAGTGTCTGTCTTTCAGTATTTCGTATTGCTGGTTTATAGTATAACTAGTGTTTTTTTATTCCAATTTCCAACCAATAAGATTATATAAATCAAGATTTTAAGTCAATTTAGCAACTGAGATCACCTGAGTATTTTGGTGGGGTTCGTGTTGTTCAGTCATTAGTTTTTTATGTTGTGTTTTGTATACTATTGTTTGTCTTTTGGTCCTTTTTTTTTTGCAATGGCGTTGTCAGTTTATTTTCGACTTATGAGTTTGAATGTCCCTTTGGTATCTTTTGCCTTTCTTGTAGAAAATTGATTGACATAAGTATTAAAAGCTTACATATGATAGAACGTTGATAGAAAATCTTTATTTTAGACAAGATATTTGTAGGATGCTTAAAAGGTACATGGGGAACAAACTGTTTAGATGCATGTCCACTTAAATGTATTGACCAACACTGTTATCCTGAAAACGGTTCCTGTACTTGGGGATGTGATCCTCAGAAGTGTTTAAATAACAACTGCGATAAACATACAGGTGCATGTAGTGAAGGATGTGTGACTGGATTAGCGGGACAGTTCTGTAACATGAGTAAGTATTGTTAATATATGTTTGTGTTTTTGATAAATCAGTTCTCTACAACGACTATTCGTTTCACAGATATTTGAACTATAATAAAAACACATACATACAATTACTTGCTTTAAATTCAGTAAGGTATATATTTGATGAATCAATGGAATCTGTTCTACTTAACAATTAAACAACCAATATATTTGCAAATAGATTTGAAGTTATCAAACGATATTATTCATACTATTTTGATATTTTTATCTAACTGTGTGTCGTACTTTCTATACTTATACTTTAATGTAAAATAACTTAATAGATATATTATAACCATTCCATTAGTTTCGCCATTTAAAAAAAATTAATTTGCCTTATTTGCTTTATATGGCTTGTTCTTTTTTTTATGTATACTATAACTAACCTTATGAGCTTCGAATATACATGAATATTCACAATGATGTGTGTTCTGTTGTACATCGATTGTTTGTTTATGTCCTGTGTGTGTGTTTTAGTCGTCGTTACAGCTTCATCTTGCATAATGTCATACTGTTTTTTGTACTCGACTTTAGATAAGAATTATTTAATTTTTCCAATCTTACTAGTATTTCAACAATTGTAATGGACCAAATAATTTCCAATGGGGTTAAAAGCATATTTTAGCGTTAAACATGTTAAATGAAATATAATGTTCATAATGTAGGAATAACGAATAGAGGTCAAATTTGTATAATATAAGATTTCATGAAATAAGCTTAATGCCTTGATATCAGGCATTCGCATAATGCCTATGCGTAAGCTTTTTGAACATGATTTAAGCTTAAAGCCTGAATTCACTCATTGTCGCACACATATACATGGATATACGTATATATATTCAAAACAGAAATTCATTCTATTCTTTATTATGATATGTATTTATGGTACATGTAGATACATTTATATATTTATAACAAAAAGTTTGAAGTAGATAATTGCATTAAATGAGCTCTGAATGATGTTTGTAAAAACGTCTTTATTTCACAGAAAATATTTCATAATTTTAATAATGTGAGGGTACCAGTTTCCTTACATTTGTTTTACTTATTATGATATGTGTCATTATCACTAACTTTGTTTTTGTCTTTTTGCAATATCATACCTGCCCCAATTTGTCCACGATAACCTAGATTCAAATGGAACAACCACACAATCGTATTCTAATATGACAGAAATCCTGCAAGATTGTAAACAGACGGAAATTCTACATCTGGTTTTTGTATTCTATAACAACTAGTTTACAGAGTATTACATGTTTTACTACAGTCTTATGTGGTAAAAAAAATAATGTATTATTGCATTTGCTGACATAGCAAATAATACAAAACCACTAGTGAAACGATACCTTGCTGTCAATAAAAATCGAACGTTAAACATAGGATCAACAACGACCGATGTCATGAGACGAAAAACAACAAAAGTCCTCAAAATACAATTGAAAACACTTATGACTAAGTGACACTAGCACAATAAAAGACAGATGATCATCTCAGATCGGCTATGACAATAAACATTAATGTTCAAATAGAAGCACCCACCGTTGTACTCGTAACAAGATAAGTTAAGTTGGATTGATTGTTGTTTGCTAAATTCCGGTTGCAAATATTCATGCATAGATATAAGAAGATGTGGTATGAGTGCCAATGAGACAACTCTCCATCCAAATCAAAATGTAAAAAAGTAAACCATTATAGATCAAAGTACGGTCTTCAACACGGAGCCTTGGCTCACACCGAACAGTAAGCTTTAAAGGGCCCCAAAAATTACTAGTGTAAAACCAATCAAACTGTAAAACCAACGGTCTAATCTATATAAAAAACGAGAAACGAGAAACACTTATGAACCACATCAACAAACGACAACTACTGAACATCAGATTCCCGACTTAGGACAGGTGCAAACAAATGCAGCTGGTTTAAACGTTTAATGGTACCAAACCTTCACCCTTTTTCTGAAACAATAGTGTAACATCACAACATAGAAAGACATACTATAAAATATCAACTGAAATAGCTTAACTCAATCAAAGGACATATTAACACCAATGAACATACAATGAACAAATAAATTTGACCTATGATACAATGCAAATACAAAATAAATAAACTAAGGGAAGAATAATAAAAGTAACATGTTATATCGGTATGAAATGTTAAACAATTTAAGAAAAACAATGTGCTCGAAGAAAAATATCAGCCAGTAGCAAATATTTTAAACACAGGTAAATGGAAATAATTTTGTGTTTAGGTATACGTGTACAGTTCCAATAGAGAAAAGAAATATTTTCACAAAATAAATAATTTTGATGTTCATAGTACGAAGTGAAAATTTATAGTAATACCAAACACTTATCAAAGCTGGTATATAGACCAGATATAACCCTGAATAACATTAAATAACAAAAAAGCATTACAATTAGTATCAACAGGTCAAATAAACAAGAAAGTACGATTTGAGAGTACTCGCTGTTACTGACAGCCAGTTAAAAGCCAAAACAATTAATAATAAAAAAATCATGCATCAGAGACTAAAATCAACGGTAGGTTTTACAAAATGGTTAAAACAAAAATTAAGATTACGACTGGAAACAAGGATATCTAGAATAGGGACAGACATCTAGCTTGCAACTAGCACCACCTACGTAACAATCGTTTTCGTCAAAGTCGTTAGATATAATTGTAATTAGTATTATTGTTGTAATTATTAGTATTACATAACTTACATACACAAATGTATGTAGCTAGATGTACAGTTAACGTTAGGCTACTGATTATCCTTAGTTTATTATACTGTTATACCTAACAGTTACATACGATCCTCAGATTCAGAAGTAAGATGAGTAAACAAAGTCTACTAAAAGATAAAATCTGATTGCATAAATCTTTTAGGATGCATAATGATGGACATATTCATTAGCTAATAATTTAATCTATTTAACTGAATTCTTTTTTATACCAGGGCATACTGCATCAGAGTAAATAAAGGAAAACACAGTTTTTTTTTTTATTTTTAATAAGATAATGATAGTCCTATGAAATAACTAAGTAAGTTAAAACAACTATTGTTTCATTTATCTACGCGAGTTTTGGAGCCACTAAATGGTAAACCTGGCAAACTTTTTGAGGTTATGGTTCCTGACCATGCTGAATCATGCAAGCCTTTTTTGAGACAAGTGTTTCTTGAAAGTTGCACCTGAACAAACCACAAAATTAGCAAGGTTTGTTTTTGTCTGTTATAAATATTGAAGGATTGGAATCAAGGACACCTTCATGTATTCCAAAAATTCTCTCGTAAATTAGACTTAATTGACAAGTGATATATGCTATTGAATTTAAGCATGACAACTGCAGTTAAAGTTGACTTTATAGTATTACATCAATAGTTGAAATCCTAACAAGTAGTATCCTACTTATGTTATGTGTTAAAACACACAAAAGATAAAAAAAAATGTTATATTACAACAGATGAATATAGATACAAATATAAGGAGATGCAGTATAGAAAGTTTTCAAATGAAAACAAGAATGAGACAACTATCTACCAAAGATCAAATGAACTGGATGTAAGCAACTATTGAAAACACGTACGGCCTTCAATAATGAGAAAAATACATACCGATTATATCACTCCAGATGTAATACGATATTCTCTTGTCGAAAGTTATAAATTTCAAAATCAAAACGCGAGGCTTGTCGAGCGTTTGGAATATATCTGATCTAACCAGTCAATCTTTAAGTCTATTAATTCAAGAACACATTTATTTATCAATGTATCTTTAGTTTCTTAGTACTAATCTACTTATTGGTGTAACCTTGCTTTCATATTTATTCATGTGTCTCAATTACTAGTAGCTTAAACGTATTTCATATTATTCTTACAGAGATACATATGATACGAACTAATAAGTTCAATATCCAATACTACATGAAAAGTAGTGCTGCCCTCTTTTTAGATTTTTGCCTATAACATGTATAATCATTTATTTTTTTTTTTTATAAATATGTGAAATATAACTATTACAATACTCAAACTTGTAATAACTTACAAGTCTTAGTTTGATCATGCCTATAAAGTACAACGTAATACAATGATTATTGAATTATTTCCGTGGAAATGATAATTGTTATTAATAATTAGAAAAATAAAGGATATTGGGTATCCATCCATCACACAAAATCAGTATATGCACATAAAAAAACACACAAAAAGCAAATAAACAGTGCTTTTATTGCTGTTCCTTATCTCAAAGTCACAGTGAGCCTTATGTCTTTTAGTCTATATTGTAGATTTCATTGATTAATTAATCGATTGATTGACTGATTGATTGATTGGTGTTAAATTAACGTGTTATGCATATTTTGGACGAGAATAAATAACAATTATCACAAAAGGTACTTTCTGCAAGATAACCAGGATAAAAGGCAGTACATTTGGATTGACACTGGCAAACGAGAATATGTTGCATAGGATAAGGATAGAATATCTATTGACCTTTCAGAGAGTCATAGGGTTGTCAAGCGCGTAAAGGGTGTGGTATCTTCACTACACTGGTCATCATGTTTAATGTCAAATTTCACCAAGCAAAATTGCATACCAGTCAGTTAAATGCACGCTCATCTTAATTTCGGGTTTCACATCTTGTTACAAAATAATATATTAGATTACGGAAGATTTTGAAGATATCGAGGAGAGAAGGACCTACAATTCGCCAGTAAACTCGAAGAAATCATCGAATTGATGGATGAATCATCAATTTAAAACACGAATATATTGTAAAGACGCATGAACTGTGAATGAAAAACAACTTTCTTATATTAATAACCATGCAAATGATTATGTATCATTTTGAAATCCATGATCTCCTTATTTAAATTTGTCATCAGGAACCAAAGGAGAAAGTTCATTGTGAAACTTCCTTTCAACTGTTAATTGACAAACACTTTAACATCTTACATGAATATCTTTTTTCGGCGAAATAGGTGCTCTTTATTATTTCTTAACATGAATTATTCACACAGTCAGGGTTATTTTTATGTTTCACACATGAAAAAGTATGTTATGTTTAAATCATACATATTGATCAATCTAAGTCTCTGTAAAGCGGGAAACTCTTGTTGTTTCCCCAGTGGTTTAGTTTATAAATGTCTGCAATTAGACAAAGTTTAACTATATGTTAACGCCAATTTCTTCCAAAATCGTAAAATATTGATGAGTATTCATTTTAAAAATTGTACCTCCTAAAATATCCTTATCCTACATATACATTATATATAAGTTTTGCCAAATACAGCTAAGGTGATCTATTCCTGAGGAAGAAAAGCCAAAAAGCAACTTTGTGTTGGATCAAGCTAATTTCTGGTTTGATTTCTCAGGAGAGTAAAGATATTTATTCCTCAGAAGATTTTTTAACTGATATTTATGACACTCATTTGTATCTTTAATATGTTTTTCCATACATTTATATAATTTAAATTTTCAGTTTAAATGACAGTCTTAAATTTACCTTTATTTGTTTTTCTTATACTATTATTCTGCTTACAAATATTCAATGAACAATCATATTACAGAGTATAAATTGATTTGGATTTGAATGGTGTTATGAGCGTCTTCATGTGGAAAAGGTCTGATTTCAATAGAAAGAAAAGACTGCCTTACTCCAAACTATTGGAATACAAGTTTGATGGTAACATCATTATTTTCATTGGAGATGGTAAAACTCTACAAGTGCGAGTAAGCCTTGCGACGATTTGAAAAAAAAATGTTCACATGCTTTATATTTAACTCATACATTTAACAAACATTTTGAACTATCTGATTAATATTTTGGTTCCCTTGAGTAGGGCTTTAAGTTTAATTGCAGCAAAATTACTTTTTACAATTTGGTATAATCAAAATTTTCTTACATAGTACATAAGAATCGGTATGGTTTTTAACATATAATCTAATTATATGCAATCAAACATCGTTATAACACAATTTATATTTGCAATGGGATGTTCTTTATCTGTACATACATATAACATGTTACTTTTATTATTCTTCCCTTAGTTATTTGATGTTATTCAGGGTTATATCTGGTCTATATACCAGCTTTGATAAGTGTTTGATATTACTATAAATTTTCACTTCGTACTATGAACATCAAAATTATTTATTTTGTGAAAATATTTCCTTTCTCTATTGGAACTGTACACGTATACCTAAACACAAAATTATTTCCATTTACCTGTGTTTAAAATAATTGCTAATGGCTGATATTTTTGTTCGAGCACATTGTTTTTCTTAAATTGTTTAACTTTCATACCGATATAACATGTTACTTTTATTATTCTACCCTTAGTTTATTTATTTTGTATTTACATTGTGTCATAGGTCAAATTTATTTGTTCAGTGTATGTTCAATGGTGTTAATATGTCCTTTGATTGAGTTAAGCTATTTCAGTTGATATTTTATAGTGTGTCTTTCTATGTTGTGACGTTACACTATTGTTTCAGAAAAAGGGTGAAGGTTTGGTACCATTAAAACGTTTAAACCCGCTGCATTTGTTTGCACCTGTCCTAAGTCAGGAATCTGATGTTCAGTAGTTGTCGTTTGTTGATGTGGTTCATAAGTGTTTCTCGTTTCTCGTTTTTTTATATAGATTAGACCGTTGGTTTTCCCGTTTGAATGGTTTTACACTAGTAATTTTTTGGGGCCCTTTATAGCTTACTGTTCGGTGTGAGCCAAGGCTCCGTGTTGAAGACCGTACTGTGACCTATAATGGTTTACTTTTATAAATTTTGACTTGGATGGAGAGTTGTCTCATTGGCACTCATACCACATCTTCTTATATCTATGTATGATTTTGAATTAAATGTTTTATCATTTGATCATGTTTTTGTGAATATTATTATTAAATAGTTTACTATACTATGAATAGTTCATGAGATAATCTTTTAACTGTATAATGCTTCCTGGACTGAATGGTCATGTGGTTTGTTTGTTATCAATGCACATGAGCCCGTAATATTTTCATTGAAACATTCAATAGAATAATCAATGTATGAATAACAAAATGTGTATTACTTTAAATGTCGGGCCGATCTTGTAGTTGTGTTGTTACATGTACCTTGGATTCGTCCATGGATGGCGATATGGAATTAATTGGATAGTAATCTTTCCGCAAAACCAGTTAAAACAACAGATACCAGAATAGGACCCTGCAATTTGATATGCATGTCCTTAATATATACAAGTTGTTCAATACCGGCTTTGTTTGGCCGTGTATACGCAGTGGAAAATGAAGCTCCCTTAAAAGTGTTATACCATGAAGTTTGAAAAAAAAAAACATTTACTAAGAGATCGTAGTTGATTAGTTGTGAGGACAATACAAGATAGATAACTCATAAAAAACAAATGTAATTAACAAGTTACATTGAAAAGTGTATCTGTTATTAAAAAAAAAACGATAAACAACACCTAAAACTAAATCCTATATGAAAAAACATTTACACGGAACATAATTTAAAAGGTATGTATTATATTCCGCTATAAAAATCTTTTTTTTTTTATATTGCAATAATGATATATGTGAACTGGACGAAGAAACCAATTGACTTGCAAAGGTACTACAAAAAATATTAGCAATCGTTATAAACATACATTTTTTTTACATTCATTTCTTCCGAACGAAATGAAAATTATTGGTCATGCAAATCAATTCAAATGCATAATACTTTAGAAGCATCACAAAACGATAATCTATGTTTATTTATTGAAATAAAACGTTTGTCATATTTGATTTATCAACTAAAAGATATAAACTGTGCAAAAGGACTTTTTCGTAGCACATAAAATAAAAAGTTTCATATGAATCATCCAAAGGTCAGCGAGTTATGATAACGACATAACCATTTAAGTCACGGACTAATTTTATCAAACCATTTTACTATAAGGGTAAAACTTATTTTTTTATGGTTATTTTTTAATTTTTTTTCCATGTTTTCACTTGAAATCCCGGTCAACCATGAAATCATTTATTTAACATATATAAAAAAAACCTTTTAATTGCGTGCTATTTATATCTAGGTAAGATAGACAGACCTCGAGATATATTATATTTTAACATAAGGTGTAATATGACACTAAATGTTTTTCTTTACTATACCATTGTATATGTAACACTAATTTTACCAGTATGATTTTGTAGGCTTTGTTGAATACATATCAATCATGACATGGTTCATTTTACATATCAAAAATAAAAACAAAATGTGATATGGTATAACATGTATAATTTTCATCGGGGATTTACGCGTAGTTTAAATTCTCAAAATCTGATTAGGTTAATTCCTCTGAAACGTGTTCCGTTGGAAACGAATGCTTACCAGATGATTTTTTTTTAATTCCCCTTGCTGTATGAAAACAATGAAATATTGGCCAAAGATAGGATCGAATTTAACGAAGGTATATAATGTTTAATCATGACATCAATTATATATCACAACATTTTTTTTTTATTTAATGGAAAAATTTGATAATTTTTTCCAATACAATTTGGGTATTTAAAGAAACCAAAACGTTAACATAACATTAAACATATTGTCATATATATTCGAGTAGGCTCCATGAAACAACTTCTTGTCAATTGTAACTACATACAGAATAAGCGAAACAACGCTGTTTTCGCTCAAACTACGTGTCTGTTAACGTTATTCTTGAGTCCTAGAATAACGTAATAATTATGTTATTTTTTACCAACCTCTTATATGCCTCCTGTGAATGCTGTCCTTTTCGTCTCTTTCTATTGTATTGTATTTATTTATTTGATAAGATTTTAACCCAGTAGTCAGCACTTCGGTGTTGACATGAATATCAATTATATGGTCATTTTTATAAATTAACTGTTTGCAAAAGTATGAATTATTTTAAATACTAAGGATCTTCTTATCCCGGGTATAGATTACCTTATCCGTATTTGGCACAACTTTTAGGAATTTTGGGTCCTCAAAGCTCTTCAACTTTATACTTGTTTGGCTTTCTAACTTTTTTGATCTGAGCGTCACTGATGAGTCTTATGTAGACAAAACGCGCGTCTGGCGTATTAAACTAAAAGCCTGGTACCTTTGACAACTATTTTAGGGGGTGGGGTGGGGGATGAATATTTGTTGAGGATGCAGAAAAAATTTTGCGAACATTACATGATATATGTGTTTAGTACTAGATTGTAAGACAGTAACGTATTCAAGGTTTATGTCGAATGTGCTTTTCTAATCTTTGTTAAAATAGTGTTTTGGCTGTATAAAACACAAGACAAAAGTATTCTCTGTCTGATAATTCATTATGGAAGCACTATTTTAACAAAGATCTTGTACAAAGAAAGTACAAACCAACCATTTGCAAGATCTCCATGGGGCTTCTGACTGAATGTTACTGCTGTATGTGTTTTGATATATTATCTATTCAATGCATTCAAATAAAACATGTCATTGTAATTTTTTTTTAATTCACATGGACAAATAAGGGTATGTAAGCGTGTAGTTGTTTCTAACTTTATTTTATTCTATTGACCGTGTACATGAATACGATGAGATTTGGAGTAAATATTAGTGAATAAGAAAAGACTAAAATACCGAACTCCAAGGTAAATTCAAAAAGGAGGAAGTTCATAAAAACTTAGACTTTTTCAGCTTACAGAACGAATGGAAAACAATCGTCATATTTCTGATTTGGTACAGGCAGTGAGACCGCATTACATAAGCACAAAAGTGAAAAGACACTATAGACCAGCATACAGTTTTCATACCGCTATATAGATGATGTTCTCTCACTAAATAATTTAAAATTTGGTGACTATGTTGAACGCATCATTCCCATCGAACTTGAGATAAAGAACACAAGATACAGTTAGGTCTGCCTCATATCTTGACTTACATCTAGAAATTGACAATGAAGGTCGGTTGAAAACAGAACTTTACGACAAAAGAATTGATTTTAGCTTTACAATTGTTACCTTTCCATTTCTATGTAGCAACATTCCAGCAGCGCCTGCATACGGAGTATATATCTCCCAGTTGATGCAATATTCCATGGCTTGGATTTCCTTGATAGAAGGTTGCTGCTCACAAGGAAGCTATCAAACCAAGAGTTCCGAGTGGTGAAGTTGAAATTATCCCTTCGTAAGTTTTACGGACGTCATCACGAGTTGGTTGACCGTTATGGAATATCCGTTTCACAGATGATAGCGGATATGTTCATAATGTCGTAACTTTAATCCCGTCCCCCTTTTCCCGAATGTGACCTACCGAATGAGACTTATTACCGGGTTTGTACTAACATGATCAACACAACGGGTGCCAGATGTGGAGCAGGATCTGCTTGCCCTCCCGAAGCACCTGTAAACATGTGAAGTTACCCCCAGTTTTTGGGTGGGGTTCGTGTTGCTCAGTTTTCTATGTTGTGTTTTGTGAACTGTTGTTTGACTGTTGGTCTTTTTCATTTTTAGCCATGGCGTTGTCAGTTTATTTTCGACTTATGAGTTTGAATGTCCCTCAGGTATCTGTCGCCTCTCTTTTGCAACTCCAAGGAGATGTTTGCTGTAAATTCAAAAATAAATGTATGATTTATAGTCATTTGGAAAACGATACAATACACCATAGAGAAACTTGACTTATGTTTATTTCATTATTGATTATAAACTTTTAAAATAGTTTTAACATTTTTCTGGTTCATTAAAATGTACATGAATTTATCCCTATTATGCATTATGCATTAACTGAATAAATCAAAAAGTGGGATGGAAGTGCGTCTTTTCTTCTTGAAATTTAAGAAAAAAATATGAAGAAGGAACTATTGATCACGTTTAGTAAAAAATTATAGGTCAATTGTTTTTTCTTCACATATTTCGCTATTTTTAAAACCTTGCATGCTTTTCGTTTCAATTGATGATGCATCAAGTAGAGTGACAAGTCATTCAAGTTTTCAAAGAGGAGTAACGATATTTTGTGCAATATGAAAAGGAGGTTTATATGTGAAAAGAGGAGCAAATGTGTATTCAAACAGCAAACGGAGGAAATGATAAAATAGGATTTAGTAATACATTTACTTCTATGTTTTTCCCCACTCATTAATCATGTTAATATTTAACTATTTTGTTCATATATGTTAACGAACAGCTTTTTGATTTCTCTTTTGCTTTGTGCGTTCCAAAGTTCCTTTGGTGGCTATTTTTTTATTTGGATAAATGATAAAAAAATGGGTTTTTTTTCGGGTGGCTGTGAACTACACAAATTGAATACAAATTCCTTTTAAAATTCTTTTTTTCAGTGACACAAGAAATAATCAAGCTTACAGATAATATTGTCTTGAATATAATTTTACCTTTTAACACATTAATTTGTTTTGGGTAGAGATGTCTCATTATTCATTTGTGTATTTATGGCCAAAAGTACATACAGTAGGCTATTCAAATATAAAGTAAATAATGACATTTTTGGGGTTTTGTCAAACATATATCAAAATGAAATATCTTTACAACCGGAAATATTAAAAGATCATTCCTTATTATCTGAGAAACCGTTAGTTCACAAATTGTAAAATGAAACACGTGTTAACACGAAAAACACATTCGATTATTGTGATTATATCCATTGCCGGAAATATAGGATCCCTAACCCTTTCTTGTTGACTAGCACACCCATTGTTTTACATTTTTCACGGGTATAACTAATAATTGTTTTGATTAAGTGTCTCCTTTTTGTGTTTCGCATATTTGTTGTCGTATTTTTGTGTCCTAATGCATTTTGTTTGGCTAATTTAACGACTGATTATAAACGGTATGAATTTGTATACATATTATATTAAAATAAGGGGATGTGGTATAATTAACAAT